TATGAGTACAGTGTCCTACACTCCTCAGGAAGGGAACATTGTGGAAGATTGAAATTTAGATTGTGCAGTGAAAAAACTCCTTATGGGATGGGGTATTCAAAAATAGATAATCAGGCTATCTTCCTCTTCAAAAATGCTATGTTCTCCCTTTCAACATCTAGCAAACAACAGATGGGCCTTGGCTTTGCCACAATGTATTGCTTGAGTAGCTATGGTCCTTAACTGTAAAGGGGATCAGGCAGGGGACTTGCTGTTCTGTCATTTTGGAGTCTCTTCCTCTGTCTGTTGGCCTATGTATACGGTTCCATCATAGTATTAAAGGGCTGCAGAACCCACCAAAGGCTCCACATTCTCTTTTCATTTGTGAGAACTGACAATGAACTTACCTGGCCTGGGAAAATTACATGACTCTGGGTGAAGTCAGTAGGAATCCATTTTCAGAGAGCACTGTAAGGCCAACGTTAACTCTAAAATTACAAAGTTAACCAATGACTCAATAAATAAGGACATTAAACTGTTAGTACTAATTACACTTCTCCCACCTTCTATTTTATATGTGAACACCATCATATACACATTTTAAAAAATCATAATCAGTGCTAGTTTATATTTACTCAAGTACTTACTGATTTTTTTGGTAATTGCTTCTGGAACAAACTATTTTATTCTGGATCCATTTATTTTCTTTCCAAACTGTCTTCTTTTTTTTTTTTTTTTAAAGTTTTTTATTTATTTGTTTGTTTGTTTATACATGCACTGGGTACAGTCAGAAGCGCGGGAGGGTGAGAGAATTCACCAGAGCCAGAGTGGGGAGCAGAGCAGGCAGAAGGACCGAAGTACACTGCTGAGGGGAGCAGCGGGCGGCAGGAGAGGTCTGCGCGCCATGTGGACCCTCTCCAGTGGCCGGGAGCAGCCGGGGATCGAACGGCGCTGCAGAGGCCGCGGGCAGCTTCGCATCCCAGCGCTCAACCGCTGCGCCACCGGGGAGGCCTCCAAACTGTCTTCTTTTATAAATTTGTCCACTACATTACCAGGTGGGAGTTCTTGAATCTGGGCTAGTGGATATAGAACTATCAATTGAGCGTCACTCTCTCTCAAAGATTTGTTTTATTTTATTTTATTTTATTTATTTAAACATACATACACACATATATACACACATACATATGTACATACATATATACATACATGCATGCATGTATACATACAAGCACTGGGTACAGTCAGAAGCGCGGGAGGGTGAGTGGACTCACCAGAGCCAGAGTGGGGGGCAGAGCAGGCAGAAGGACCGAAGTACACTGCTGAGGGGAGCAGCGGGCGGCAGGAGAGGTCTGCGCGCCTTGTGGACCCTCCTCCGGTGGCCGGGGAGCAGCCGGGGATCGAACCGGCGCTGCAGAGGCTGCGGGCAGATTCGCAACACAGTGCTCAACCGCTGCGCCAACAGGGAGGCCCTCTCTCAACATTTTTTAAAATAAAGAAAATATTTTAAAGATTTGTCAGTTTATACAAGAACTTGGGTGCATGCCAGAGGCATGGTACGGTGAGAGGATTCGCCAGAGACAGTGGGGAGCAGAACAAGCAGATGGACCGAAAACACTGCTTAGGGGAGCAGTGGGCAAGGCAGGAGAGGTCTGCTACACCATGTGGATATCTCCCTGGCAGACCAGGAATTGAACCCACCTGCAGAGTCTGCAGGTAGCTTCACAGCGCTGTCCTCAACCCACTGTGTCACTGGGGAGGCCCTCTCTCAGCATTTTAAAGACATTATTTTACTGTTCTTTTTCATCTTTATTGGAATTCTGAAGTTTGTCTTAATTACAAATCCTTTATCATGAATTTTTGTCTTGATTTAAGATTTTACTTTTGTGTCTGCAGTTTCTGTGTTTTCACTGATAGGTCTAGAGGTAGATCTTGTTTTAATTCTATACATTCGGTTCAAGGCTCAGTGTGCTATTTCAATCTGAGAATTCATGTGTGACATATTCTTGAAAATTTACAAACTGTAAAAATGTTATCCACAATCTATTTTTATTCACTGAGAAATCCATTTATACTCTCAAGTTTCATAGTCTCTCTTTTTTTTTTAGAGATTTATTTATTTACGCATGCATAAGAGTTGGGGTGCTGGCCAGAGATGCCAGGGGGTGAGAAGATTTACCAGAGACAGAGTAGGGAGCAGAACTGGTGGACTGATTGATATACACTGCTTAGGGGAGCAGCGGGTGAGACAAGCAAGGTCTGCTACACCATGTGTGTCACCTCCTTGGCCAGGGATTGAACTTGTGCTGTAGTGGCTGCGGATAGCTTCATAGCGCTGCATCTTAACCCCTTGCAGCACCAAGGAGGCCCTCTTAGTCTTTATATTTTTAATATCTTTGTCTTTCATGCTATGTTTCATGCAATTTCTTCAGATTTATTCTCCAGTTTTCCCAGTGCTCTATAAATCCTATCTCTCCTACCATAGCTCATCCTACCATAGAATTTTATACTAAAAAAAATATTTTTCAGGCCTTGCTGGTGGCGCAGAGGTTAAAGACAGTGCTATCAAGCTATTGCCAGCATGAGTTTGATTTGGCTAGCCGGGGAGCAACCCACTGGCATACCAGACCTCTTCTGCCTCGACCACTGCTCCCCTCAGCAGCTTATTTCAGTCTGCCTGTTCTGTTCCCCACTGTCTCTGGTGAATCCTCTCACCCCCACACCTCTGGCATATACCCCAGTTATTGTATGCATAAATAAAAATAAATCTTTAAAATATATTTTTCATTTATGCTGAAATATATCATTTTCATTCCCTGGTACAATGAAAATCACCAACAGATGCAGGTTAATGGGTGTTATGGCATATTGAAATACATGTACCATAGCTATATAGTATTTAATGGCCACAGGGTTGTTAAAGACAGTGGCTATTGCTAGCCATTGCAGCACAAGTAGATCCCAGCCAGCCTGGGAGCAACCCACATGGTGCAGCAGACCTCTACTGTCTCGCCTGCTGCTCCCCTCAGCTGTGTATTTCAGTAGATCTGCCTGTTCTGCTCCCCACTCTAGTAAGTCCTCTCACCTCCTACATCTCTGGCTTATACCCCAGTTCTTGTATGCAAAAGTCTAGGGAAAAAAACCCACATATATAGCGCAATATATATATATATATATATATATATATATAGTATTATTCAATAATGAGTTTCCTCTAAATCAGCATGTATAGTGTCCATCAATCAGAATCATTTAGCTAGCTCTAATCCAGTGGATTAATGGAAACTTTATGGAAACTTAATGGAAAGAAAGTTTGTGCACACCCCCAACCCAGGGGACATTTGGAAATGTCTCATTTGGATGAGTAGCGAGTAGAACAGGTATATACTGGTTAAAGGTCCCAGATACTACTAAGCATCCCACAATGCCAAGATACCAATACTCCCTCCAACCTCCTATGGACATAGAACCCAGCCCAAATGTTAATAGTGTTGAGAAGTCTGCATTAACTAATTAAAATGTCTTGGAAGATCTTAAGCTCCAAATATGACCTCCTCTCGTGTGAATATGCATACTTATTTATAATCTTTGATTCAACTTAGGAGTTGGTTGCATTTGTTAACTCTCTACGTACATGTTTTTCTTGCACCAGTAATTCATTGTGCTTGGTTTTGGACAATATACATAATATGTTCTCCTGCAGATTTCAGGAAGTGAAAGCTTTGAAGAAAGGAAAAGTTTTGCAAAATAGACTAGTAGATGGAAACATAAGCTTCAGACACACACAAAACCAAATGTTTTATTTTAAATAAGAAAATTAATATAGTGCTGTTCTCACTCTTTTATTTAAATATATGTAGGGCCTCCCTGTTGGCCAATGAATTAAGTCTCAGTGCTACCACCCCTATGACTTTAGTTCAATCCCCAGACAGGAAGCTGACCCCCATGGTGCAATAGACCTCTCCTGAACCTTACGGATAACACTTAGCTGAGGCTCGCAACCTGCTGATCACCACCCACTGAGCCAGTGCTGCTCTGGGAGCTCTTCACACTTCCTCAGGAGGGAGCCTTTGCAGCAAGTGTGTCAGGAGGCGTGAACCCCGACAAATGCATGCTACCTCCCCCACGCCTGTGTCCTGTGTGGTCCTTGGCTCATTTGAAAGTCTCTGGCTGAGATGCCTTGTTATGTGGCTTTTTCTCATTAGCCAAGGAGAATAAATATGAGGCCGCCTGTGCTGGATAACTGCAGTGTGAAAAAGGGGGAGACTTAAAAAAAAAGGTAGGATGGCGAGGACGCATGCAGACAGGCGGTCTTGGGAGAGGGGGGCTTGTCAAATGGACTTGGAACAGAACAATGAAAGACCAAGAACCTAAAAACAGACGCGCAAGGACAGCCCAGTGGTGCCAAGGCCCAGAGACCACAGATGACACATGTACCAGGTTCTGCGCAGGGCAGGAGGGCCTGCTGGGAACGGCCAGGCCAGCGAGAGTTTGGCTCCTTCTACCTCCCTTGGTCTTCATGGGCGAGCGCCAAGACATGGCTCTACCAGAACCTATAGCAGGAGAGCCTGGGACGGGCAGCGACGCGAGCCTGGCCCTCACCCGAAGCAGAAGTAACACCATGTGGCCCGCGGGGCAACATAGGAAGGGGACTGAGAAACCACAAAGTCTCCCAAAGTTAGACATGGGGTCCCCCACATCCGGGTGTGTTCCCAGGGAGAGGAGCCACACACTTATTCCAACAGGTGCCTGCACGCCCGTGTTCACAGCAGCATTATTCACAATAGCCGGGAGAGGGGACAAGCCAGGCGTCCACCAATGGGGAAGCGGGTGGACAAAGGTGGTCAGCCCCCCACAGGACGCTGACCAGTCCTAAAGTGGGGGAAAGGCTGACACCTGCCACCACAGGACGGGC